TCTGTCTATTGCTGAAACCCCCAACTTTCTCCTCTTCCTTTCATAAGAAACTTGGCCGAATCAGCACATAAGGCTTTCTACTCCTAGTCGCCTATTTCATCCTGATTTGTAATCACCTCCCCTTCTACCTCTAACTTTGCCACAAAAATCTTCTGCCTTCTTCCATTTGCTAGATCATGGAAAAATCTGGTATTTCCATCACCTTCCTTAATCCACTGGTGCCTTGACTTTTGTCTCTTACAAATCTCTCTAAGTAAGACAACCTTCAAATCCTTTTTCAATTGTCTTCTCTTTTCCCTATTGTGTTCATTCATGATTCTTTGAGATTCCTTCTCATCCAATTCCTCAATACAAAAGATTAAATTCAATTTTTATTCCTCAGCTCTATCAAATTGGTCCCTATTCCACTTCTTCAATTTGGATCTTAGCCTTTGCAACTTCTTATGAAACCTTATCCCCTTCCACTTTACCCCCCTAACTCTTCATTCCACCATTCTTTTATCCCCAAAATCTGGATGTGTTAGCCACATGTTTTCAAATCTAAAAGGTCTGCGTCCATTAACAAATGATTGGAGACCTATCTTAATGGGGCAATGGTTAGAAGTGACCCTAGGCAAAGCTCTAGAAAGATTCCCCAGTGACATTCCTAAGCTAGGTTGAAGAGAAATCTATCCAACTTTGAACATAAGGGGTTTTCTTGGAAATTAGACCATGTCAACCTAACTTGCAAGAGTGGGATTTCCTTTAGTTCACAATCTTCTACAAAGCCAAATTTCCTCATGCTTGATGTAATTGACCATGAAGGATTACTAGTTTCCTTAGAGAATCTTATGACATTTAAAATACCCTCCCAGGCACCAAGGACCATTCCATAAACCTTGAACCACAGACAACTCCTTCCACAATTCATTCCTTTATCTATAATTGTTAGGGCCATATTGCGACAACTCCTCCACCGATTCCACTACCTCATCCTTCCATATTGCGACAACTCCCCCTGAAGCTCCCCTTGACGGAGCCGAGGACCAGCTTACTCCCCTTGATCTCCAAAAGCTTCTGATCCATCTTCCATCCACTTTAGGCAATTTTGTTTCTTGCAGCACTACAATATCAGTTTTTTCCCTCTTCAATAAATCCTTAATTGCTCTCCTCTTTCTTGCACTCCCCAACCCTCTCACATTCCAACTGGTAATTTCATAGATACTCTTCAATCAAGAGCCCGTCTTAAACCCAACATTTTACCTAGAGATCTTCCTCCTCTCTCCCCTTCCACTAAACTCTAAGTCGCCCTAAATGTCAAAGATTAATCTCTTCACTTTGGTTACTTTTTTGCATTTTCTTTTTCCATTTTTCCTCCAACTTCCTATGATATACTTTCACTTCACTCTTCTCTTTACTTATTCCACCTTTCCACTTTTCCTTTTCAATTTTTGGAGTCAATTCAATCCCTTTACCACCTTCCTTTTTAAATTCCTCTTCCTTCTCACTAAGCAATCCCTCCCTCTGAGTGCTCTAGTCTACATACCCTTCCCTCCTCCTAAGCTCCTCAAGCTCTTTATAAATCAGCCTCCAGAATCTTTCCACCTCCTCTTCCTGCTTCTTACCGATCCCTGATTCGTCCTTTTCTTTTAACTCTTCAGTACCCCCTCCAACCCCATCCTCCATTTTTTTAAAACATTTAGTTTAAAAATTTTCACTTTTTAATTAATACTATGTTAATGTTTTTTTTTTGCATTTTTTGAATTATTTAGTAAGTTTGCGCCTTGCTTCAAAAAGGTGTGCCTCATTTTGTTCCTTGTGCTTTTAAAACACTAAACCAGGCAGCCAAACTACTGAACTAGGAACTACAAGCCCTGCAGTATTATGTCCAGTTCAGCTTTCAAAGCAGTGGTTCTCTATAAATAGTATCTAGGACAAGCTTAAATTTTGGAGAACAAACTAAATAGCAGGCTAGCAGCTAATGGCTTCTCAATTGACATATAATAACTAGAAATGTATTCTACTCACTCAAAAAGATTTGCAGGTGTTTCAGCTAAATCAAGGACCACTCTGGTACCTGAAAAATGTTGGTAATCCTACAAAAATCATTAATGGGATTATCAGAAACAGAAAGATTATACAAAATTTGTAACTTGACCTTTAAGCAGTGGTCAAGTAGGAAAATATACCGTTCTTGAAAGAAGAGAATGAAGAGCATGTCCAAACTCATGGAACAGAGTTTCTACTTCCCAGTGGTTAAGCCTCGGAGTTGAAGAACCAGTTGAAGCCGAAAAATTGCACACAAGTGCTACAACCTACAATGTACCATATAAAAGTGAACCTGACGGCAAAATGTACTACAATATTATATTAAGTTTAGTTAAACCCATGCTTTTCAATAAGTAAGCAGAGAATAATCCAGGTACAAATTTTAATGTGCCTAGCAAAGAAAAGTTGGCATTCTAATGGTATGGAATCTAATCTAACTATAAATCCCTTTTTTAGAGAAAAAGAATAATTTTGTAATAAATATCTAGCAAAATGCGTACATGAGAGGATGTACATCAATGTACAGAAATGTATAACAAAAGCCCACCCCAACACTAATGTTTAGGTAGGTAAAGAGCTGTTACCATGCAAAAAAATGCCCATTAGAGTTTAGACCCACAAATCAAGTAAACCATCTGCCACGAAGTTGGAAATTTCTTGGAGTACACCATATTTCAGCTGAAATGGAAGCCAAGGCATCTCTAACTTGATTATTAAAATGAGTGAGATGCCAAGGGCCTCTTCCCATGCTTTGACTCCAACTACTGGTGTTTGCTAAATCCCATTCCACTACTAGAAAGTAACATTTGCTTGTTTAGCAATCAAGGAACCCTTAAGAAATGCAAGGACTTCAGCTTTTTTGAAGTTCCGTCACCAATGGGACTACCAGATTCCTAAAACACACTTCAATCAGGTCTTGCAAGAGAAACTGAGAGGGATGACTGCAGTCACTGTACCAATCTTGCCCACTTCAGACAGCTAAATGGTAATCAATTCAGCTTATCAGGCAGTGCTCAAAAGCAAAGAGTGGTCCAAAATTATAAAATTATCCACGCTAAATGATCCTACTTGAGAGAATATTTAGCTCTAGGGGAAGGACACTGGACACCTATAAAGTTTACACTCCTAATGAGCATCAGGTAGTTCAGGTGTTTGTGAATTTTCATGATATGCCAAAACTAATACCACCCTTCATATGCTCCAGTATTGCTTGACAATACTACTGACAGACACCATAGTAGAATGTCTTAGCTCTTCTGTGGAGATACAAATGATGTGATACAGGAAGAATGTGATTATCAGTTTGCATAGAGTATCTAATGGTCAGATCCAGTAAAGTGGAGGATGTGGATTAATAACAATAAAATAGAACAAGTAAATAACAGCAGTTGGAAGAAACAGAACCTAGGTAAGGGTTCAAAAGGGCTTTGAACATACAGGAAGTTGGTAATCTGTCTCAGAAATACGACGTCCACCTTTAATGGCAAAATGAGCACAACCTGGATATTTGCCCTCCCTGGAGTACAGATCAAGGTACAGATACCCCAAATCACCCTGAGAATACAAGTACAATTCCTTAAGCATATATAAGCATATTTTCTCATAAACACTACTCTGTGTGGAAAGGTAAATACCTAGAAAGCACAAACAGAAAACTTGAATGATTGAATCCACTGACAAAAGTTTATTAAAAAAAAATCCATTGACATAAGAAAATCATTGTTTATGAAGGCAATTGCATTCCTGTAGTCAAAGTTATCCTGATGGGATATATGCACTTCATTTAGGCATAGATTATAAGCCCTGGTCCCAATTTGCTAGAACAATGAACTTCTGCATAGTCCCCTGTAGCACTGCTCTGCTCTGGTAGGTTCGCAAAAACTTGGGGTCAGGCACAACCTAAACCTGGTCAGTCCAACCCTGAAAAAAGAACAGGATTTTGTTGGGTTATCCATGACGTCAGTTCATGGATAGGTTGTAAACATCAACCCCATCTAAAAACAGGTTGGGTTAGGGGTTGAGACCTAGGGAATTCAATCTAATGCGAACCTAGTATTGTATTTTATATATGTGATATATAAGAGAATGCCAGCCTACAACATGGTGGAGCAAGATTAGCTACCTACCTCTTTTTTATTTTACACACTTTGCCTCTGTTATTAATTTCTTTATAAACCAATAAGGGCATTGTGACCACCTAACATTCCATCTAATGTCCTTTTGTCCATGTGTGTGACAAAATTCTGGCAATCAATAATCTTATTGATAGAGACAAGAATTTGAGAAATGCTTGCATGCTCTGTTCCTGCTCTTTAAATCTACCTAGCATCTTCTAACCGATTGCAGATATTCATCCTTAATTCTATACCAATTCATCAAGCTGTTTTGGCGGCAAAAGGTCATTCCTGGTAACCTTCAGACTTGAATCAACCCTGTGAAATCTTGCAACTTTTGCAGTTCATTGGCACATTTTGAAGGAGAGAAAACTACAAGATCTTTAAGGGGGAAGTAGCAAGAGACTCAAAGGCATATTGGCATAATTGAAAGAACAATCTTTTTTCTTGTGCAGCCATATTGAAGGATTTTGATGACCTTTCCTTTCTCCGCTAATGTAATGATTGGGAGAACCTTACTTTTAATCATTAGTTAGGGGTGGTTGTATTATCTGTGGTGTAATTCTGTAAAGGCCTAGAGCCTGTTGCTTGATTCTCTTGTAGGTAGGTACTGGTTTACAGTGTGTCGTCTTGTCTCTGTTCTTTTTAATAAATTCGTCTATCTATAAAAAAAAGGGCATCTACCATCGTTTTACAAAAGTTCTTAAAACCCACTAGAAAAGGTAAAGAGATGAAAGCATAGAAGAGAAATGAGAAGGATAAGAGAAGAAAGAAGATGAGAGGTATTCCCCCACCCTCCAGTGGTCTCAATTGATCCTTCCTTCCCAAGAGGATTACTGACTGTTCTAAATAGATGAAGCACCTATGCCAACATAAAAATGTGTAAGTATTCATAATGGCTAGAAATAAACCATGACAGCAAGAAAGTAGGCACCACAAACTGGGGAAGAGCAGGATCACTAATCTCTAGGTCCAGGAAATTTATTTGGGCTGCCGTATTGGACAGAACAGTGATCATTGATCATCTCCTGACTAGAGGAATAATGTTGGATTATAACAGCTGATTTTGTGGCCAGGGAGGGGGACCTGTCCCACACTTTCTGATTCATTGTAGCTTTTCTCATGGCATCTGATCACATCTGTTACAATTATTAAGAGACAGTCTTGACAGTAAATCTGATTAAAGATTACAGCAAAAGAGAAGAGAAGAGAAGAGAAGAGGAGAGAAGAGAAGAAGAAAGAAGGATTGAGGCAATGGAACAGTGCTGGCAGCACCAGCTTCATTATAATATATAGGGCGAAAATATAAGAAGGGAAATGACCCTTGTGCCCCTACTAAGTGATGGTACAATAATAGATTAAAATAAAAAGGCTTTAATCAGCCAAACAGACCCTAACAAACATAAAATCAATTATTTCAACACTCCCCCTCAAGTTGGAGCATAGATGTCAATCATGCCCAATTTGTCACACAAATCATTATGCCGCACATAATGAAGACCTTTGGTGAAGATGTCTACAAGTTATTCTTCTAAGCTGACATATGGAGTGCACACTTATCCACTTACAAGTTTCTCTCTAATAAAATGCTTGTCCACTTCAATGTGTTTCGTCCTATCATGGAGGACTAGATTAGCTGCAATGTTGATAGCAGCCTTATTGTCGCAATAGAGTGACATAGGGTTGCTAACTATAAAACCCAGTTCTCCTAACAGATTTCTTATCCACATGATTTTAGCAACTCCATGAGACATAGTTCTGTATTCTGCTTCAGCACTAGACCTAGCCACCACACTTTGCTTTATACTTCTCTATGTGACTAGGTTTACCCCTACAAAGGCACAATATCCACTGGTAGACTTTTAGTCATCAACTACCCTTGCACAATCAACATCAGTATATACCTCCACCTTTAAATGTCCATGTTTCTGGAACAACAAACCAGCTCCAGGAAACTTCTTGAGGTATCTGAGGATCCTCTCTACAGCTTCAAGGTCAGTTGTCCTAGGATTGTGCATGAATTGACTAAAGACACCCACTGCATAAGCAATATCAAGCTTGGTCATAGACAAATACAAGAGTCTCCCTACAAGTCTCTAAAACTTCTTCACATCTTTCAAGAACTCTCCTTGACTATCACCCAGATGATGGTTAGGTTCAATTGGTGAGTTAATTGGTCTCACCCCCAGTTTGCCTGTATCTTCTAGTAGATCTAGTACATATTTCCGTTGGGAAATAAAGATGCCCTTGTGAGAGCGGACAACTTCAATTCCAAGGAAATAACGTAAGGGGCCTAGATCTTTCACCTCAAATTGAGTGGCTAAGAATTTTTTTAGTCTCTGTATTTCAGCCTCCCAATCTCCTGTGATCACTATGTCATCCACATACACAATTAGAGCTACAATTTTCCCTTCACCGTTTTCACGAATAGTGTATGATCTGACTGGCATTATTTGAACCCCATCTATTGAACTGCTAAGTGGAACTAACTAAACCAGGTCTGAGGAGATTGTTTCAGCCCATATAAAGATTGTTTTAACTTGCACACTTTCTGTTCACTGCCTTTAGCACAAAAACCTGGAGGTTGGGTCATGTACACTTCCTCTTCTAAGTCACCATTCAAGAAAGCATTTTTGATGTCCAATTGGTGAAGTTCCCAGTCAAGATTTGCCGCGAATGAAAGGAGAATTCTGATAGAGTTCATTTTGGCTACTGGGGCAAAAGTCTCTACATAGTCCACTCCATATACTTGTTAAAACCTTTTGCCACCAGTTTGGCCTTGTACCTTTCAACAGTTCCATCAGCCTTGTATTTCACTGTGAACACCCACTTGCACCCCACTAGTTCCTTCCCTTCAGAAAGATCAACCAACTCCCAAGTGCCATTTTTGTGTAATGCATCAATCTCTTCCTTCATTGCATTTGTCCATTCAGGTTTGGATAAAGCTTCTGCCACGTTCTTAGGAACAGGGATACTGTCAACAGAGGAGAGGAATGCACGATATGAAGATGAAATATGATCATAAGACACAAAGTGAGAGATAAGATGGTTAGTGATACAGGATCTAACACCTCTTAGCAATAGGAACATCAAGATCATTAATGACAGGGGAATCAACATTGAGAGGAGCAGGCATATCAATGGAAGCAAGTGTACCTGGCTGATGGGAAGGATCAACCTCCGGTGAAGCCGATGATGTTGGTTGCATAGTGTTAGGTTCCATGGCTCTTGAACTCTGCTGGCTTTTGTGGCAGCGAAGAAAGACACGGAATGGAGGAGGGTCAGGTAGAGGAGGTAGTTGAGTCTGAGCCTATTTCTCCTCAACCCTACTCTCCCCCTGAGGAGAAACCGAGAAGGAAGATTGATTCTCAAAGGACACATCTATTGAGACATAGTATTTACGAGAGACGGGATCATAGCAACAGTACCCCTTTTGAGATAGAGGGTAACCAAGGAAAACAAGGAATAGCACGAGGATCAAGTTTACCTCGAGTAGGTGACAAGTTATGAACAAAGCAATGACACCCAAAAACACACATTGGAATGGGGAACAACGGAGCTGTAGGAAACAAAAGTTGATGTGGGGCCTTATACTCTAGTAACTGAGAGGGCATACGGTTGATGATGCACGTAGCACATAGAACAACAACCATCCAAAAACGTTTCAGAACACTCATATGGATTAACAAGCCATGAGCTACTTCAAGAAGATGACAGTTTTTTCTTTTAGCAACACCGAATTGTTGAGGTGTTCTAGCACAAGAGCTTTGTTGAAAGTGATCCACTCGAAGCAAAGAATTTCGTGAGATCACTATGGAAGTATTCCTTTGCATTGTCCGACTAGAAAATATGGATTTCAGTTTGGAACTGAGTGAACACCATGCATTTAAAGTCTTTCACAATTTTAGGCACTTCCTCTCTAGATCGCATAGGGTAAACCCAGGTGTATCTAGAGTAATCAATGATCAAGGTAATGAAGTAATTATATCCAGCCTCAGTAGGTAGAGTAGCAGGGCCCCAAACATCAGAATAAACAATATGAAACAGAAATTCAGATCTTTTATTTCTCAAAGGAAAAGTGCTTCTACAATGTTTACTCAATTGACATGTTTGACACTGCAACTGATTTACTGAGAAAGACTCAAACAACTTTGGAAACATAACTTTTAACGACTCAAAACAAAGATGACCAAGACGACTATGCCATAAATAGGCTTGACTTTCACTGGACGAACTCAAGGACTCTGTAGCCACAAGACCAGCTTTATTCTCCAACACGTAGAGGCCATCCACCATGCTTTTTTTTTTGATGAATAATAGTAGTAAGTTTATTGATTCAGAAGCAAATTAGAATGAGTTCATACATCATCCCAGTGAGAGGCGCGAGCTGCAGCCCCTCCTTGAAACTTACAAGTAAACTAGGAAAGAAAAACAAAAATC